ACACACACACACACACACACACACACACACACACACACACACACACAATAACTTTCGTCCTTTCTTAGGCATGAAGGGGGAAAAAAAGAGTTCACTTTTTTTTCCCTTACTATAGACGGAAAATTCATGTCATAGTTATTACGGAGTAGTGTGGTTTGAAAATAATAGCTAATTATCAACTAATTGTGATAGCAATATATTTCTGTTATTACAGTTTTTGTTGTTATTGTTATTGGGGTTGTTTTCAAGTTTGCCTTTTCTTCTTCGTTCCTTCTTTTCAAGTTCTTCTGTCAGACGTCGCCTCCATTTTTCCACAGACAGAGGAATATTAATTACTTCTTGTTTAAAAAAGAGCATTTCTTTTTTTTTTATTTAATTACGTAAATATTATCATTATCAGTCAGACGGGAAAAGAAAAATATTACAGTTAAATCAAGACAGAAAATTAGTAAATAAAATTATTCACCGCTGGCCAAAGCATTGCGACTAATAACTCAATGGTCGTGTGTTCAAATCTCAAGTATGGTAGAGTCCTCAATACAGGCGAGTATATGAACTAAGTTATCTGGCGGCCTTTAAATCCATACTTTGTAAATAAACAAATAAAATAAAAATAAACAAGAAAAGTACATTCGATCGGGACCGAATCTCTAATACCCATCATCACCGTTTACCCCGAAAAAGAGACAAAAGAAGTAAAAGAAGAAAATTCTCATGTTCACACAATACGAAGTGGGCGCGGTTGATTTCGTTTGTTTTCGAAAGAAAAGTTTTTCTCGTAGAGGCATATGGGCGTTGTAGCCGTGTCTCTTGAAAAGTTTAGATCCATTTCAAATTCTTTTGCAAAGTCTTTCGACGATATCTTCACTTTCGCTAACGGGAGAATGTTTACCACAAATACTACAAAGTTACGCAAACAGATAGATGGACCTGAGAACAGGCGGACCTGTTTAGGTGCATTCCAAATTTGAAACTGATCCAGAATTTATATACTTTGCAGTCGTTTTGAAGCTTTTTACAATTTACTCACAATATCCTTACAAGATTTTGCCAAAAGAAGAAATGGTTGTGAAAGCTATTACGAGATACGGACGAACAGTGTGCTCTTTTCCAAGTTTATACGTCGAACTATCAAAATTCAACGGTATCAATCCTACAAGCTTGCCTTAAGAACCTGAAGCGTTTGAAGGGTCACGCTCCTTTCACATTCAAACGCCTGCAACGCTTTGTCATAAGATCAAAGTCAGAACACAACAGTTATCTGGAGGAAACATTCATATTCTACTTGAAAAGGTGTTGAGTTGAAAAGATTTCGCTGCAGTTGAATATGATTGATTTTCTTTGCTTTTTTATACCTACCACTGGAAGGAGGGTTTCGTTTTTCGTCATAATATATGTAACGCACAAAAAGAAGCTTCAAAGACCCTATAAAGTACATGGATTCTTGATCAGCGTGAAGTTTTGAATTGATTTAGCCATGTCTGCCCGTTTGTGTGTCTATATGGTGCTTGCTTTTGGCCCTGTGTTGTTCGCAAAAATGCAAATATCGACTTCAAATATGGTAGAAATATTGGAAGTTCTTGCACGCAGGTTGGTATCGAAAATTGGCCCAATTGATTAGAGCAGAAGCCCGCGGTGGATCATAAACTGAACGCAACTCCGCTCTTCCTAACAAAAATCTATGGGTGTTTGCTCGTTTCTCAGAAATTATAAAAGTTAGAGGACTGAACTTTCCACAATCACTTTACGAAACAGTCTATCTACAGTTACGTGCAAGAATTGCCGAATATAACTTTCTTACTTGTTGTGTTAGATGAATGCTGCTACTTTTGAAGTCGCGAAAAAGCTGTAACAAAAACAAAACATGAAAAATAAAAAACAAAAATCTTGAAAATTTTTTAACCCTCTCTGGCAGCTAGTTTTCTTAGGATGCTTAAAATATAATCTATAAGTAAACCGAAATAAAACGAATTTTATTTGGAATCCGTTACGATTTGATTGTTACAATGACAAGTATACATACATAATATATCGTAAACCGTAGGCTAAGTAAAATTAAATATGTGATGAGTGATCCATTTAGAAAAATAGGATAACCTTATTGTGCTATGAGAGGAACAAAAGAAGTTTTCTTGTTTGTGCGAGAGGTACTCGTATCTAACTCTAATTTCAAAATGGAACTACTTTGCTCCTTTCTGGATAAGCAATATATTTAATAAGAGACCAGGCAGGCAGCTGCTGTAGTTTTTTTGATTGTAGATTAAAACCAAAATTAAAGCTATTCTAATGCTTGAGGGAAGTAGGCATAAATCTGCATATATATATATATATATATATATATATATATACAATGTTCCCACATATTAACAGATTTTGTTTTTTTTTTTGTTTTGCATTACCCATGATGGGATATAATGGAACAATTATACGTGTGTAGTTGCTCATGTATGCATGTTTTCAAGAACTTGTGTGTAATTTAGAAAGCAATTGAATGTTTTGAGTGACACAAACAAGCACAAACGCATACATACACGCACTCACACGTACAGATCCAAATATAAATTTACCTTCGAGGACGTATACAGCAATAACAACAGTTGGTGTAAAGGATAAATAACCGAATGTCGACTTTTCAACCATCATATAATCATAATAATAATAATGATGATGATAATGATGATGATGATGATGATGATGATGATGATGATGAAGACAATGACAGCAATCGTACTAGCAGTAGTAGTAGTAGTAGTAGTAGTAGTAGTAGTAGTAGTAGTAGTAG